GTGTGTGTGTGTGTGTGTGTGTGTGTGTGTGTGTGTGTGTGTGTGTGTGTGCGTCTGCGTGTGCGTGTGTGTGTGTGTGTGTGCTTGTGTGTGCGTGCGTGTGTACGTGTGCGTCTGTGTGCGTGTGTGTGCAGGTGTGCCAGCCGTCTTTCGAATGTATCCACCCGCCTGTTCATCCTTAGTTAGTCTGTCCGCCGTTTCTCCCGCCTGGACATTTATTTGTCCATCCGCCCACCCAGTCATCCATTCATTAGTTTGTCCGTCCGCCCGCCCATCCGTCTGTCTGTCTATCAGTTAGTCTTTCTGTCGACCCGTCTGTCTTCCGTCTGTCCGTACATCTTGTTCGGTCTGTCTATCCGTTAGCCTGCGTCAAACATTTCAGATACATTTCTCGACCAATCATCTGACCTACGAGTCAATAATCACCGTTTATAGACGCAGAAATTCGGTACGGTGAACACGTATTATAATAGCAGTACATATAATACCTCCAGTTCAAGTATGACCGGTCCTCTATAGTTGATATCGGTAAGACATTTAAGCATTTTAGTACAGCTCGGTTTATATGCTATAATTATTGTACCCCTAAGGTATTTTTAACGACATCACGCCTTTTCAATATTACCGACGAGCTATATATTTATGGCACTAAGGCTGTAAAACGTCTTTCAGTATTTCATTAGTTCTACGACAGCCGCGACTCGCTCGTTCACACCTATACACGATGGAAGATTACAGGACGTGGTTCATGATCCTCCTTCTACCAGCGGCTCTTCTTTCTGCAAACGGCCGCTCGCTGCCAGAGACACCTGGTGAGCAGCTGTGCAAACTCTCTCGTAACATTTACGCGTCGTTATCCCTCTGTGATTAATGAGCTTAGCTGCGGTGTGCGTACACTTAGTAAACAATATGACGTACATGCCTATACACGCGTGTGCTATACCCGTGTGGAATAATCATTGCCTTCGTCGTCTTGAATGGCTTCATCGAATAAATCTACCCGCTGTGAAGAATGATGGAAAGAGTATGTTAGAATGTCGATACATATAGTCGCCACGTGGATGAAGTATACTGATGTAGTGTTACACTGATAATGATGTGTAGGCCTACTGATGTAGTGTTACACTGATAATGATGTGTAGGCCTACTGATGTAGTGTTACACTGATAATGATGTGTAGGCCTACTGATGTAGTGTTACACTGATAATGATGTGTAGGCCTACTGATGTAGTGTTACACTGATAATGATGTGTAGGCCTACTGATGTAGGGTTACACTGATTATGAAGTATACTGATGTAGGGTTACACTGATTATGAAGTATACTGATGTAGGGTTACACTGATTATGAAGTATACTGATGTAGGGTTACACTGATTATGAAGTATACTGATGTAGGGTTACACTGATTATGAAGTATACTGATGTAGGGTTACACTCATCTGAGCAATGTTGTCTTCGTGCAGAGGACAAGTTGGTCGGATGCTATTACACTAACTACGCGCAGTACAGGCCCGACATAGGTCGTTTCACGGTCGATCACATAGGCGCCTCGCTATGCACTCACATCTTCTACGCTTTCGCCACCCTGAAGACAGGAAGGCTAAGTGCGTCCGAGAAGGACGACGAAGGTGAGTCATGCTTATTGTCATTATTATATATATACTTATTTACTTACTTAATCCTCTTCACTCCTACCGGAGGCCCTATGCCTCCACTAGTTTTCTCCAGCGGACTCGGTTTTGTGCTGTCCGCTTGATCTGCTCCCACGTCATGCCGATCTCCTGATGTTCTTATGTGACTGTTCTCTTAGGTCGTCCCTTTTTTTCTTTTTCCCTGTGGGTTTCACTCTAGTGACTGCAGCGTGGTGTTGGTCGTCGGTTTCCTTAGGGTGTGTCCAATCCACCGCCATTTCCTTCGTCTGATAGTAACTTCTATCTTCTCCTGTTCCATGCGTTGCCATAGATCGACGTTCGTTATTCTGCTTGGCCAAAATATACCTAGGATGTAGCGAAGCCTGCGATTGACAAATGTTTGAAGTTTCATATTGAACCGGAGTAGAGTAGTGTTTCTCCGGTGATTAGCTGTATCTTACCACTTCCCAACCATCTGGCTTCGCTAACTCCTAGAATCGTTAGATTTAACCTCTTCATCTGATTTGCGATTTGGTGAACTTTACCTGTTTGGTACATAGTTCGTACATTCCATGTCCCGATTCGTGTCCGTTTTTTAGGGGAGAGTAGCTTCGTCCTTGTCGGCGTCATATTTCTTCCCCGTAAGTCCTTGTCGGCATTCCGTATATAACCGTCTCCTTCCAGTCCATTACGACCTTGAAGGGTTGGATAAACTTTTGTGTCGGTTTCTGAAACCAGCTTGAATTCACTCGACGGGTGGTTGGCCCGGGGAGCTTCACGTGCGCCAATTGGCCCCAGGAATCGTTGTTTCCAACTTTCAGCCTGGGTTCACCCCTGCACCACAATGAGGCACTTCCGAAGAGGTGGGGACTAATATGTCCCTAGGCGCTCCGACTTCCGCAGGGGATATATATATATATATATAGCACGGTATATAATTTCGGGTAACGATGTGAGACCGTGTGAGATTACGCTATTGTTCGGGTCCAGCGATGTGCCAAACTATATTGTTATTGCTCACGTTTCATTTTTCATTTGTTGTATTCGGTGTACCACGAATCTTTCTAGAGTAGCATTCATTATATTGTATTTAGTCAGCTATTATGCGCGTGTATTACGTTACGTTTCTAGATATTCACTATACTTACTGCGTTCGTTGGCAAAACATATGCTTAATTTTTACACTCTGGGATATATGGAGACAACGACTTTGCGCGCATAGACGTGAACCACTAGATAAGCTTACTAACCGTTAACTCCGATTGACGCGGGAATTATTTCTCCCGAGTCGATCACGATTCGAACATCATAGCTTGTGCTCGTCGATCATACATGACGGACTGTCTGACTGCATTCTTGCAGATAACTATAAGAGGGTGACGGAGATGAAGGCGAGACACCCGCACCTCAAGGTGCTGCTTACCGTCGGCGGCTACGCCCTCGGTCCGGGACCCTTCAGTCAACTCATGCGCAGCAGAAGTCAACGTAACCGCTTCGTGACGCACGCAGCGCGATTCCTGAGGGGCAGAAACTTCGACGGGTTGGACATCGCCTGGGAATACCCCGCGGACCAGAGCAGGGGAGGGTCTCAGTTTGATAAAACTCTCTATCCGGAATTCCTGCAGGTTAGAACGAGTTTTCGCTCCACATCAAACGGTCGCGTTCACGCGCGCACGTGCGCGTCACCACGAGTATTACGAGTATATAAACTAGAGGAATCGTGGCGCGATAAAAATGAACTTTCGATCTCTATAATTATATCGGCACATGAACTTTAATAATCACCAGTACTTGATATGCTGCACTTGTTCTCGCGCATCCACCCTATAATATATCCGGCATGATTCCGTATTCTGCATACTCACAGGCGGCGAGAGGGCGGCGGTTATATTTTTAGCTGTTATGCTAATAACTCGCTGTTAAACGAAGGCGCATACATTGTTCCGTGTGTAAACGCGTCACTCATACAAATAATGCATCTATACACACACACACACACGCGCGCGCACGCACGCACGCACGCACCACACACACACACACACACACACACACACACAC